TGTCTCTTCCTCTCTCCCCCCGTCAGCTCTCATGGGCGTCGTTTCTGGATGGGCTGGCGGGGGTACTTTTGATCGCAAGCGCACCCGGAGGCCGGGCACCGTCCGAAGCAACGCAGCTAACGCGCGGGGATACGCGAAGCGTCAAGTATTTCACTACAGCGCAACGCCTGTGTACACCACAGCAGCCGTGTGTACCGCTGCGACTGTGCACACCACGCTGCCTCCGTGGACCACAATGTGTGTGTGTATGTACACCACAACGCCAAACGTGCCAGCGGGCAAATTAGTAGCTTGCGAGCACCACCTTGCGCTGGTGAGCGCCCTGTGTCAGGGGCGACCCCATGGCGGAATGGCGCAGGCCTCTCATTTGAATGCCGGCAAAAGAAGGAACTGGAAGAGGACAGGCGGAGCCTTTTTGCGGGGCTCGCCACAGACCGCAGAGGCCCTCCAGACTCGTCATTCACCTCCTCCTCCTCCTCCTTCTCCTCCACCTTCTCCTCCTCCTCCTCCTTCTCCTCCTCCTCCTCCTCCTCCTTCACCTCCACCTCCTCCACCTCCTCCTCCTCCACCTCCTCCTCCACCTCCTCCACCTCCTCCCCCTCCTCCTGCTCCTCCCCCTCCTCCTCCTCCTCCTCGTCCCGTCGTCGCCGCCAGAACCACGGGGCACCGACAGGGAACGGCCGACTGCGACACAGAGGGCCCGCTCGCTCCAGCGGGCCCCTCCTCATGCCCGTGCTGGTCCCCCTCCTCCTCCTCCTCCTCCTCCTTCTCCTCCTCCTCCTCGCCTCCTCCTCCTCCTCCGCCTCTCCTCTGCGCCTACATCAATCGTTGTTATCATCGTCGTCATCATCATCAGTCAGCATCAATCATCATCACACCATCACCGTCCACCATCACCAATCCACCATCACCATCACCAATCAACATCACAATCACTCACCATCACCATCACCATCCACCATCATCATCATCATCATCATCATCATCTCACATCATCATCATCTCTCATCATCATCATCATCATATCATCATCATCATCATCATCATCATCATCATCATCATCATCATCATCATCATCATCATCACTCATCATCATCATCATCAACCTCATCATCATCATCACCACATCCTCATCAGCATCATCATCCTCATCCTCATCCTCATCACCATCATCATCATCATCAGCATCAGCATCAGCATCATCATCATCATCATCATCATCATCATCATCATCATCATCCTCATCATCATCATCATCATCATCATCATCATCATCATCATCATCATCATCATCATCATCCACCTCATTCACTTCCGCCTCCTCGTGGGGCTAGCCGCAGACTCCGGAGGCCCTCGGGACTCGTCCTTCAGGGCTCTCGCGGGGGAGGCCTCAACAATGGTCGTAGCCAGGTGTGTCCTCCGCCTCCTCCTCATCGTCCAGCCCCTCCTCCTCTGATATCAGCCTGTTGCTCCGCAACGCTTGCGCACACCACAACGCCTGTGTGCACCACAGCAGCCGCGTGCACCACAGCGACTGTGCACACCACAGTGCCTGCGTGCATCGCAACGCCTGTGAGCACCGCAACGCCTGTGCACACTACAGCATCCATGTGCACCGCGGAGTCCGCGTACGCCGCAGTGCCTGCGTGCACCACGGCGCCCGTGCACACCGCGGTGCACTGACCCTGCGTGCATGTCGATGCCTGCCTGCGCGCGCGGGAGCGCCTGCGTACCCCTCGCAGTGTCCTCTGGAAGCGGCAAAGATTCACGCTTGTGGCCGGCTTGCAAGCGTTACCATTACGGGGGGGTCTGGGAGGGTTCGGGGGTCTGGGAGCGTAACACGTCACCTCCTCCTCCGCCTCCTCCGCACCCTCCTGCTGCTGCATCTCACCACTCCCCCGTCCTCATCCTTCTTCCCCTCCCCGCCCGCCCCTCCTCCCGCTCTTCCCGCTCACGCACACACGCAAAGAGAGGAACCTCCGAACAGACAACCTAAGCGAAACCCGCAGGCCAAACATAGGCCAGGCAGTCACTGAACCGGATGGCTCCCTCGCTCGCCCTTGCCTGGTGGAGGTCGCCGACGCGCCCGCCTGTTGCGACACTGCGACGCCCGAACCGACAAACCATCCACCAAAACGGCACGGGCAGAACCGAAGGAACTGAGAACAGAAAGGCAGGGCGGGGACACGAGCAGGCTTGGCGGCTCAACCCCTCCGGCAGGGCCACGCCAGCACGACCCAGGCACAACCGTGCACGAGGGCAAAGATCGTCCTCCACCCCGCTTCCTCATGGATGCGTCCTCCCTGTCGCACCCCTGGACGCGTCGGCAGGCCGGGCCGGGCGGTTCGCCCGAGACTTCCTCACCACTTCTGGTCCTGGAGCTTGACACTCACTACAACTGTGCCGATTGACGGGGGTCGCTTTCAGAATGGAGCTCTTGCGTCTGCGCCGCGCACTCTCGTCTTCAAGGCATGCAAGAGAGAGATACAGGGATGGAGGGAAAGGGGAGCTTTCCAGAGGGAGCTCTCTCGCTTTCGCGACGTGCACGTTCGCCTTCAGAGCTGACAGCACCTGAAGGGACGGACCCAGACCCCCGACGTAATGATTTTTTCATTACGTCGACCCCCAGAGGTCTGGACCCTTTCCCCATGACCGGCTTTGCATCCTGAGTCGTTTTTTGACGCTCCCGAGGCCCGGTGAGGGCCCCCGGAGGCCGAAAATTAGGCAAAACGTCCCGTCATGATTTGTTCATTACTCGAGGGGGTCTGGGGAGGGGGTGGTCTTCAAAACGGAGCTCTCGCCTCAGCGCGGCGCACACCCGTCTTAAAAAAAGCTTGCAGGCAGCCACGAGGGTGGATGGGGGGGGGTGGCGGGCGGCGCCTGCTCAAAAGGGCGCTCTCGCCTCACGCGCGGCGCACCATCGTACTGAAAGTCTTGCAGCAGCTGCAGGGAGGGAGGGCGGCTCCTGTTCAAAGTGTTGCTCGCGCTCGAAGATCCCCTTCGTTTCGCAGACTCCACAGATGGAGGGCGGCTCCGCTTCCAAGCGGGCGTCTCGCTCGAAACGCCCCCAAATCTCATGACCAGAAGCGTCACACGCTTGCGACAACTGCACAGAGGGGGGGGGGGGTCCGTGCTCGAAAACGGGAATCTCGCTGCTGGGCACCTCGCCGATCTGCATGGGAGCCTCGTTTGCCTAACGGAGCTCTTCTTGCCCGACTGGCAGGCCGCCCACATGGCGCCTGTCTTTCAAGAGGGCGATGCGTGTAGTGAAAAGGAAAGCCTGCAGGGGCTTATGAGGAGAGGCCTTGAGACGGTGTATTGCAGCATCGCTGTTGCATATTGGGTTCGCACTGGTCCTCCACTTCCTTCTCCACCTCCCTCCTCCTCCTCCTCCTCCTCCCCTCCTCCTCCTCCTCCTCCTTCTCCTCCTCCTCCTCATCCTCCTCCGTCGTCGAGCTTCCTGGCGCGACGCGCGCGGTTTCTCTGTGACGAGCGGCTGCACTTACACACGCCGACTAATGGCGTCCTGTCAAGCGTCTCTGCGATAGAGGTGGTGGGCGGACAGTGCTGCGGGCCCCAAACAAACACCACCGGAGCCTTGCCCCCCTCCCTCCCTCCTGCTCGTCATCCCATTACACCTCTTCCTCCTCCTCCTAATCATCATCCCCCTCCTTCCCCCTCCCTCCCCTTCCTCCCCCTCCCTTTTAACTTGTACCTCCATACCTTCCTCCTTCCTTTACTCCCGTCAATCCCTTCCCTCCTCCCTCCCTCCATCCATCTCCGTGCCCCACCTGCTCCGAACCCCTACATCCTGCCTCTACCTCCACATCCTCGTCCGTCCCTCCCTCCCTCTCTCCCTCACTCCTCCCCTCTTCCTCCTCCTCCTTCTCCTCCTCCCCCCCCCTCCCTCCCAAGTCACCATTAACATCATCATGCGTCATCGTCAACAGCAACATCGTCGTGGTCATCGACATCACCGTCTTCGTCGGCACGACCATCCTAATCATCAGACCTGTACTCATCATGACCATCAGAGTCGTCGTCGCCGTCGATATACCATCGCCATCGTAGCCTGCCGCCTCATCATCACCATCGTCAGGCTTATCATGAGCCTCATCATCATCATCATCACCACCACCATCACCATCATCATCAGCATCATCATCAACATCATCAGCATCATCGTCATGCTCATCATTGTCTTCACTCGCGTTATCAACATGCGTCATCGTCGTCATCGTCATCATCATCATCATCATCATCATCATCACCACCATCATCATCATCATCATCATCATCATCATCATCATCCGATTGTAGTAGTAGTAGTAGTAGTAGTAGTAGTAGTAGTAGTAGTAGTAGTAGTAGTAGTAGTAGTAGTAGTAGTAGTAGTAGTAGTAGTAGTAGTAGTAGTAAGTATGGTCACAGTCGCAATCAGCAGCAACTGCACCGTCGTTGTCGGCGTCGCTATCGCCATCACCGTCGTTATCACCACCAAGATCATCATTACCATCTTCATCATCAGCATCAGCATCAGCATCAGCATCATCATCATCACCGTCCTCCTCCTCATCATCAGCATCCTCAGCATCATCATAGTCATCATAATTAGTCATCAACATCATCATCGTCATCATCCTCATCCTCATCCTCCCCCCTTCTCATCCTTATCATCCTCATCCTCCTCCTCATCCTCATCCTCATCCTTATCCTCCTCCTCGTCCTCATCTTCATCCTCATCCTCATCCTCATCCTCAACAGCAGCAACATTGGTATCGTCATCATCAGCATCGGCGCTGATAGCATCAGCATCATCATCATCATCATCATCATCATCATCATCATCATCATCATCATCCTCATCATGATTAGCATCATCGCCATCATCACCCTCAACATCATCAACATCGCCTGTGTCATCGCCCCCCTCCGCCCTGCAGAACGGGCGACTTGGGCTGAGGCGAGGCGCCGGCGGCGTACCTCCTCGAGGCCCCCTGGATATGCCCTGCCACTGGTGGCGGGCGGCCGGTGCCCCAGCGTGTCGGAAGGGGCTGCCAGGGCCACGGTGGCAGTGAGACTCGGCCCCGCCGCCGCCCCCCCACCCTGAGGGGAGGAGAGGAGGAGGAGAAGGAAGCGGAGGAGGACGAGACGGAGGAGGAGGGGAGGAGGAGGAGGCGGAGGAAGAGGAGGAGGCGGAACAGGAGAATCAGGAGGAGGAGGAGGAGGAGGAGGAGGAGGAGGGAAGGAGGAGGAGGAGGAGAATCAGGAGGAGGAGGAGGAGGAGGAGGAGGAGGAGGAGGAGGAGGGAAGGAGGAGGGAAGGAGGAGGGGAGGATCAGGAGGAGGAGGAGGAGGAGGAGGAGGACGACGGGCGGGGGAGTCTTTCGGGCGCGCGACGCCCGGCCCGCCCTGCCGACACCACTCGGGGCGCGACAAAGGGTTATCCTTGCCAGAGGGGCGGGAGAGACGAGACAAAGGGGTATCCTTGCCAGAGGAGGAGGAGGAAGAGGAGGAGGAGGAGGAGGAGGAGGAGGAGGAGGAGTGGACGTACCCTGAAGGCGGACTCCCGATGACCGCACTAGACGCGAAGCGCCAAACGCGCAGCACCAGCAATCCGCTCGGCTTCTGTATAGGTGAGGTGTGCCCCAGGAGGCACGGTATCTTTGGCTTTGTGGTAGATATGAAACGCTAAGGCCGTTGCCTCTAGCGTCTGGGCTCGACTCAGCTCACAGTCTTCCGTGCCATACTCCGAGGGACTCCCGAGGCCAAGCCAAAGCAGGGGCTCCACAGGAAAGACGAGCCGCATCCAGCTCATGGCGACGTGATGCCTCATTCGAAGGCAGCGGAAGTAGTGGCTGATGCTGTCGGAGCCTCCGCATCCAAAAATGCAGTCTCGAGCGAGGAGGAGGAGGAGGAGGAGGAGGAGGAGGAGGAGGAGGAGGAGGAGGAGGAGGAGGAGGAGGAGGAGGAGGAGGAGGAGGAGGAGGAGGGGGGGGAAGACAGAGAGGCACAAGCAGGAGCAGGTGCCAGCGTGGAGGTGGCGGAGGAGGAGCACGACGAAGAACAGGAGGAAGAGGAGGAGGAGAACGAAGGGGACGGTACCCAGAGGAGCAGGAAGACGAGAGGCGGAGGAAGAGGGAGAACGAGTCCGAATCCCGACCACCTCCGCGGTCAGGGCTGCCCCGAGCACGCTGCGTCGCCCGGGCGGGAGAGGCCTTCCCCTGCGTCCCCCAGACGAGGGGCGGAATCTGCCGTGGCTTGACCGGGAGCATGCGCCCCTGCCCTCGCCGGGCTCCGAGGAACCCGCCCCCCTTGAAGGGAGAAGGAGGACCCAGCGGAGGACTGAAGCGAGGAGAAGGATGGGGAGGACCGGGCGTGGCAGGAAGCGGCGAGCCCAGACCCCCGACGTAATGATTTTTTCATTACGTCGACCCCCAGAGGTCTGGACCCTTTCCCCATGACCGGCTTTGCATCCTGAGTCGTTTTCTGACGCTCCCGAGGCCCGGTGAGGGCCCCCGGAGGCCGAAAATGAAGGAAAAACATCCCGCCATGATTTTTTCATTCCTCGAGGGGGTCTGGGAGGAGAACCCCGCGCAGCAGCAGGCCAGGGCGCCCCCCGGTGGGCCACACCGACGGCTCGGCCCCTCGCCCCCCCCTGCGGTGCGCGACGCGAGGCCATCCTGGGAAACCCTCCCGCCGCCGCCCTGGAGAGGAGGGCGCTTCTCCGGCGCAGGTCGCCGCCTCCGCCTCGGGCTTGTGCTCGGGTGTTGCCGGAAGCGCCCCGGGCCCGAGGTGCCCCCAGCTTCTCGCTCCGCTCGGGAGGCCCTGGGGCCCCTTGTGCGGGGCGCCCTGAGCACCCTGAGCCAGGGGCACACCTCCTCCTCCCCCTCCTCCTCCTCCTCCTCCTCCTCCTCCTCCTCCTCCTCCTCCTCCCCCTCCTCCTCCTCCTGCCCCTGCTCCCCCTCCTCCTCCTCCTGCCCCTCCTCCTCCTCCTCCTCCTCCTCCTCCTCCTCCTCCTCCTCCTCCTCCTCCTCCTCCTCCGCCCATCTAACAACACCCGATGTACTGCACCCTCCTCCTCCTGCCCCTCCTCCTCCTCCTCCTCCTCCTCCTCCTCCTCCTCCTCCTCCTCCTCCTCCTCCTCCTCCGCCCATCTAACAACACCCGATGTACGCCGCGAACGACGGCAGGGCATTCAGGAGGAACCTGGGTTCCAGCTGGGATCAAGTAGAAGGCGATGATAGGCTTATGTCGGGCACGCCCTCTACAGGAGGAAGATTCAAAGATGGTCAGAGAATAATTCGGGGACGATGCTTCGATCATTTTCGGACGATGTTTGAGTATTTGTTGGCTAGTTATTAGTTCTCGTCCGAAATCCGCATGTAGGGGGACGCGCCCAACCTAATGATAGGGGGAGGGGGAGGAAGCGCGGCAATACCCGGGCCTTCAGGATGAACCCGGGTTCATCCTGACACCTAGGCGGCAACAACATTTTAATCATAGATGTGGCCCACACACAAGCCGGAGCATCATTCCGAGACAAGCGTTCCGCCAAAATGCAGGGAGTGTCACGCCCATTCCGCGCGGGCCGGGCTCGGTGTCGCCGAGGTCCGCGCCACGTTGGGTGGGTAGGCCACGTTAGGGGGGGCAGGGATGATGATGATGATGATGATGATGATGCTGATGATGGTGACTGATGCTGATGCTGATGCTGATGCTGCTGCTGCTGCTGCTGCTGCTACTGCTGCTGCTGAGGAGGAGGAGGAGGAGGAGGAGGAGGAGGGGAGGAGGAGGAGGAGGAAGAGGAGGCGGGGCAGGAGGGAGGAGGAGGAGAGGAGGAGGAGGAAGAGGAGGAGGAGGGGCGCAGAGGAGGAGGAGGAGGAGGAGGAGGAGGAGGAGGAGGGGCAGGAGGCGGAGGCGGAGGAGGAGGAGGAGGAGGAGGAGCAGCAGAAGGAGCGGAGGAGGAGGCAGAGGAGCAGCAGCAGGAGGAGGAGGAGGAGGAGGAGGAGGAGGAGCAGGAGGAGCAGGAGGAGGAGGAGGAGGAGGAGGCGGAGGAGGAGGACGCGAACCTTTCGCAAGAGCTGCTGCAAGCAGGGACGCTGAATAGGGGACGAAGCCCCTACCTGGCGCCCAACGGCGCCTGGGTGCACGAGGAGGGCCAGAGGGGCAGCCGCGGAGTGACCGAAGGACCAGCGAGCCCCGCCAGAGCCCGGAGCGGTCCTCATCTCGCAGCGCCTCGACCGTGCCCACGCCCCTCGCCATCACCCCCTCTCCCCACACCTCCTCGAGCCATGAACAAGAATCACGGCGGGAGGTTTTTCGCTATGTTCGGCCTCTGAGGGCCCTCGCCAGGCCTCGGGAGCGTCAACAAAACGACTCGGGAGGAAAGACCGGTCCCGGGGAATGGGTCTGGACCTCATGGGGGTCGCGTCGTGAAAAAATCATGGCGTCGGGGGTCTGGCTCGGCCGCGCCCGAGTCCCGGGGGGCGGCCCATGAAGGGGGACGTCCAGGAAGCGGAGGGGGCAGACCATGGCTGGCGGCACGTGCGCGGCCCAGGGGGGGCCCCCTCCCTCCCTCCCTCCTCTCCCTCCCTCCCCCCCTCCCTCCTCCCTCCCTCCCTCCCCCCTCCCTCCCTCCCTCCTCCCTCCCCTCCCTCCTCCGGGACGTGATGCAATGAGAAGAGGCGCCATGGCATCTGGGAGAATACCATGGCCGACTGCATGATGTCCAGCCCCCCCTGGTCACCAGGGGGGGGGGCCAGGGACGTGATGAAATGAGAAGAGGCGCCATGACATCTGGGAAAATACCATGACCGACGCCATGATATCCAGCCCTCCCAGAGATCGGATGTCGTGATTTTTTCGATACGGGGCCCCAGGAAGTCCCGACCCGTTCCCCAGGACCGGATTCTCATCCTGTGCCGCACTTTGACAGTCCTGGGGCCCGGCGAGGGCCGCTGTAGAGGCCGGAAACGAAAAAAAACCTCCGTCCTGACTTCCTCAGTGCGTTGCATCTCTGGGCCTGGTCGTCACCCCCCCTCTCGGCCGCACCTGAGATCCGACGTTGCAGAAAAAATGCAACCTCGCGACAATCACGCCCGGAGGCCCGGACCTCGTCTTTCCGCGCCATGCTTCGAGCCCGATCGATCTGTGAGGGCCCCAGGGCCCGAAATCGCGAGCGAGAACGCCCGTTGCAAAAACAATGGCAACGCCAGGCTCTCAGGGGCCCCCGAGCCCATCGGCCCCCTCCCGAGCGAGCTCGAGCCCCGCCCAGGGCCTCGCGGCATTCCCGCCTCGGCCCCGCTCCCGGGCCTAGAGGTCAAAGTGTGCACAAATCGCAGGAGCGGGGAAGGATCGGCGTCGCGCACCGAGGGGGCGACGACAGGCGCGCTATAGCCGAAGGGGGGGGGGCATGACACGCAGTCGCCCGGGAGCCTCTTCGAAGACACAGATCATCGGCGCACCCGAATACCCAGACATCGGGCGTCTCGAAACAATCGAGGCAGAGTTTTTTCCTAGTTTTTGGCCTCTCGGGGCCCTCGCCGGGCCTCGGGACCGTCCAAAAACGACTCGGGATGAAGAACCGGTCCCAGGGAAGTGGTCGGGAGGTCGAGGGCCCGCGTCTCGAAAAAATCGGGACGTCGGATGTCTGGGTACATGTAAGTCTGAAATGACTCTGGTGGGTCATATTGCATCCAATTCCATGTCGAAGGAATACGATATGGGATGTGGATGAGTAAGATAGGAAAAGATCGATGTAATGATCTTTCCAGCACATAGCGAATACCAAGTCAGGTATCCGGGCAAATAGGGCGCGCGTGCCTTGAGCCATAAGGCAGCGACGCGCAGGCCATACTCCCGATTATCTATAACATCTCCCAAAGAGCTACCCTTAAAGTATGTATTGCTCTCCCCCAGGCTATTCGCCCCCACCGTCGCCCCTGACGCACGCGGGGGCGGAGGGAGGAGGGAGCAGGGCTGCTTCGAGGCAGGGCTGCTGCTCAGAAGGCGCCGGCCTCACTGAAGGGGCCCTGGGACACACAAATAGATACACACAAATCAAAGGATTCCCCATATTTTCGCATATTTTCTGGGGTTTTGTCTTCCCCCCCACTTCCCATGTTTTCCCGTATTTTCTGGTGAATCGCCGATTCATTGTGTCTGTGTGTTTCTTTCCCTCCTGACTCACATCTACAGATGAGGCCCGCGCCTTCTGAGAAGCAGGGGTGCTTCCCAGACCCCCGACGTCGTGCTCTGTTCATGGCGTCGACCCCCCGAGGTCTCGACCCACTGCCCAGGACCGGCTTTTCGTCCCGAGTCCTGCTTTTGACGGCCCCGAAGCCCGGCCGAGGGCCCCCCGAGGCCGACAATGGCGGGAAACCTCCCGTCGTGATTCTTGTTGCCACAGCGCGAGGGGGCCTGGGTCCGAAGCAGCCCTCCCCCCTCTCCCTTCTGCCCCCCCCTCTGCGCGCGGCGGAGCGGAGCGCCCGCGGTCTGGCCGGCCACCCGCTCGGCACCCGGAGCACAGACCCCCCCTGGAAGACAAGGGCCCAGACCCCCGACGTCGTGATTCTTTCACAACGTCGACCCCCAGAGGTCCAGACCCTTTCCCCATGACCGGCTTTCCATCCCGAGTCGTTTTTCGACGCTCCCGAGGCCCGGTGAGGGCCCCCGGAGGCCGAAAATAGCGGAAAACCTCCCGTCGTGATTTCTTCACTGCTCGAGGGGGTCTGGGCATCTATAGTCGGGCGCGCGGCTCCCTGAGATACTCTTCGCTCCGTCACGAGGCGCGCGCGCGTCGTTCCACGAGGCGCGCGCGGGCCCCCCCCCCCTAAAACGACGCGAAGATCGGGACAAAATCGGATCGGGATAACTCGAAATCTCTGAGAATCGGCGGGTTCCCAGACCCCCTCGAGTAATGAAAAAATCATGACGGAAGGTTTTCCTTCATTTTCGGCCTCCGGGGGCCCTCACCGGGCCTCGGGAGCGTCAAAAAACGACTCAGGATGCAAAGCCGGTCATGGGGAAAGGGTCCAGACCTCTGGGGGTCGACGTAATGAAAAAATCATCACGTCGGGGGTCTGGGTTTGGAGGATGTATTGGGCGCCGCGGCCGCTCTCAGAGCGTTCCGGCACGCTCTGAGAGCGCTGCGGAACGCTCTGGAGCGATGTATCCCGATCCTGGCCCTGTTTTGCCCCCTGCGCGCGCCCAGCGCCGCGGGGGCGCGCGGCGGGCGAGGCTGCAGCTGACGATCGCGGCGCCGGGCGCCGCCTTTTCGGGTCGGGCACGTGGCCCTCCAGGCGTTTTTTTTTGTTGCTGAAGAAAGGCAAAGAACCCAGAGATCCAACGTATTGAAACACTCACGACGGAGGTTTTTCTCAATTTTCGGCCTCTAGCGGCCCTCGCCGGGCCCCGGGACTGTCAAAAACGACTCGGGATGAAAAACCGGTCCTGGGGAGTGGGTCGAGACTTCTGGGGACCCCGTATTGAAAAAATCACGACATTGGATCTCTGGGAACATAGTCGAACAGTGCCCACAACTACTCCAAGACAGTCCAGAAATCCTCCAGGCGTTTCTTTGACGACAAACAATGGCATAGTCGAACAGCACTCGAAATTATACCAGGGAGAAACCCCCGTCGGTGGATGGTTTTAAGAGGAGATCGACCGGGCACCTGGGAGCCCGGGAACCCAGAACCCCAGAGATCCGACGTCGTGATTTTTTCAAGACGGGATCCCCGGAAGTCTCGACCCATTCCCCAGGACCGGCTTTTCATCCTGAGTCGTTTTTTGACAGTCCCGGGGCCCGGCGAGGGCCGCTAGAGGCCGAAAATTGAGAAAAACCTCCGTCGTGATTTGTTCAATGCGTTGGATCTCTGGGACCCACCGAAATCGGCCCGGGATCGAACCCGGGAGCCCAGGACCGGGAACCCCAGAACCCAGCCTGCCACCAAAACCGGCGCCTCGAGCGACCGCGGCCTTATACGACGCCGCAGAAGTCGTCGGCTGCCGGCCACAATGCCAGAGCACCTGGCGGCGTCCGGTCTTGAACGTCCCAGACATCGCGCGCGTCTCGAAAAAATCGAGACAGGTTTTTCCTAGTTTTGGGCCTCTCGGGGCCCTCGCCGGGCCTCGGGACCGTCAAAAAACGGCTCGGGATGAGAAACCGGCCCCAGGGAAGTGGTCGGGAGGTCGCGGGCCCGCGTCTCGAAAAAATCGAGACGTCGGATGTCTGGGGTCCGCGCCGGGGCCGCCGCGGCAACGACGTGACAGGAGCCTGCCGGAAGGGCCCAGGGGGGACCGGAGCAACCAGGAAAGGACAGAGCCCCTGGGGAGGCCACCAGCAGAAGCAGTGCACAAGCAAGGCTGGCCGTTTGCCGTCCCTTTTGGGGGGCTGCTGGTGCTGCCTCCACGGGAGGTCTGGCCGTCTGCTTCTGGCTCCGCCCTGGCAATCGAGGTGGCCGACCGACCGCGGCGCTAAGAGGGAAGAAGAGGAGGAAAACGGCATCTAGCGCCAAGCTCTTCATCAAAATAAAACCTGGAGCTGGTGTGGGTGGCCATGCCTGCTGCGCTTTGGCAGCCTCGAATACCATGCGCCTCGAGAGCACACTCATTACGTGCGCTTGAAGTTTCTAAGGTTTTGCAGACCTGAAGGCATGGACTCTCGTGGTGGAAAAAAGGGAAAAGGGAGGAGCAGCAGCACAAGAAGAACATGCATGACCAACACACACACTGCTCTGGATGCCGTGCCCACGCGACGTTCTCAATGTCGTGCCGCGCAGTCCACAGGCACCGCTGAAAGAGGATGGCAGACGACTGCACATCCAGCTGGCAGCGGGCAGGCCCAGAACTCGAACCCGAACCCACATGGCGCAGCTCGGCTGTCTGCCCTGCGCTGTCCACTGGCAAGGCGTACGACCCCTGAGCCCGCCTGCTCGTCCCCAGCCAGTGCTGGAGGCACGGTCGCCGTCAGAGTCAGAGTGCGGGGCCAGCCTGGGCCAGAGCCGGAGCCAGCGTCGGAGCCGGAGCCAGGAGTTGGAATCGGAATCGGAGGGCACCCCTCGCGAACCACTCGCCACTCCCCACTCTCCACTCCTCACTCCTCCTCCTCCTCCTCCTCCTCCTCCTCCTCCTCCTCCTCCTCCTCCTCCTCGTCCCTGTGGGAATCTCCGCTGCCACGCGTGGCGCGCCCGCGCCGCCGAGCCGCACGCACGTTGGTAGGGTCGGCACCTCGACGGCGTGGGCGCGACCTGCAAGGGCAGGAAGGGGGGCGGCGCGAGGAGGGTGCGGGGGGGGAGGAGGGCGGAGGACGGCGAGGGCGAGGAAGGGGAAAGGCGGGAGAAAAAGAAGGAGGAGGAGGAGGAGGAGGAGGAACGACGCCCGCTGGCGAGACGATATCCTTCAGGAGGATGCGACGGATGAGGAGGAGGAGGCGGAGGAGGAGGAGAAGGAGGAGGAGGAGAAGGAGGAGGAAAAGGAAGAATAGCAGGAGACGGAGAGAGTGGGGAAGGCGGGTGGGGAAACGAAGAAGGGCGAGGAGGGCAAGGATGGGGAAGTGGAGAAGGAGGAGGGGGTGAGGAGAGAAAGAGACGTGCGAGGAGTGCGAGGAGGAGGAGGAGGAGAAGGAGGAGGAGAAGGAGGAGGGGTCGCCAGGTGCCGCAGGGCGGCCAGCGCGGCAGCGCCCCCCTGCTGATGGGTGCCGAGGTTTTGCAATGAGGGCGGAACCCCAAAGCTTCTCCCAAGATCTTTGGAGCATCGGTCTCAGTGGAGCCTTATCTTATCTTACCTCCTCCTCCTCCTTCTCTCCTCCTCCTCCTCCCCCTTCTCCTCCTTCTCCTCCCTTCTCGCCCTCCTCCTCTTCCTCCCCTCCGCCTTCTCCTCATCCTCCCCTCCCCCTCCCCCTCCCCCTCCTCCTCCTCCTCCTCCTCCTCCTCCTCCTCCTCCTCCTCCTCCTCCTCCCCCTCCTCCTCCTCCCCATCTTCCGCCTCCACCTCTTGTCCTTATACAAAACTCCCCAAGCTCCTCCCTGTCGCACCCCCAGACGTGTCGGCAGGGCGGGCCGCGCTGTTCGCCGCAGACGTCCCCACAGTCTATGATGCGGAGGCTCGAGATCTGTAAAAGTGCCATGGTGTTCACAATGGTGGGCCCGATTCCCTCGGACGTCATGGATGGCCCGATGGTGTTCACAACGATGCACTGCTCTTTTCACCGTGGACGCTTTGGCGCCGGCGTTTACCAGCCTCGGACGTATCCCTATCCCCAGGATTGACACGCCAAAAGGCGATGCCAATCTTAGGGATCCGCCCTCAAGAAATA